ATTTTAAACGAAAAGTACGAACGATTAAGCGAACAAACCGTGCCACTAAATTGCGTACCGCACGCCTTACGTTTTTAAACGAAATGAGAAATGAAAAATTAATAGCAACACAAAAGAAAATAATAAATAAAATAACAACAAAAACTAAAGAAATGAACAGAATATTATTAAGAATATATGATGAACAAACTCCGAGCGACTAATAGGCAACCACCCCACCACCGATCGTGATCGGTACGAGAAAAGCCAAAACCTAGTTATTTGACGAACTAAACCGTTTTTCACTTACCCACCGAAAACAACAAATAGTGACTGCACGATACACGTTCAAATCTAAATTCGAAAAGAACACAGATTTCTTTCGAAGAGCAACAACCAACAAGCACTCAATATCTATCTAAAGTTCTATCTCTTTTGGGGCGAAACACACAGGAATAAAGTTTTTTCTTCTTCTTCAGTTTGTATACATTCGAAAATTGTGAATTTATTCGTATGCTACAAAATGAATGCCACAATATTCATTTTCCCTGCTTTAGCATATCATCAATCTCTCTTTCGTAAATGTTCAACAAACAGCTGATAGTTTTTCCTTTTGAAATTTTCGATATTTAAGTTAAGATCTCTCTCTCACGCTATCAGCTTTTAAGTTAATTTTCGAAATATGCACCTACATATTACATTAGGGTGTTCTAAATATTGCATATTTCATCTCAGTGGCAAGTGACCTCCACTTGTAAACATCAATCAATGCAGCTGGAAAACTTTGTATGTGTGTGTTTGTGCGAGAGTGCATGTGTTCTAGGAATTTGTTTCTTACAAAAAACCCATATAAAAGTAAACAATTTATTTAAGAAATAACGGAAATTGTTTGTAATAATGCATTTAAAGGTATTTGGAAAAATTCCATTATCTTGACATTAGTCACTATATAGTGATGGAATAAAATTGAGATTATCCCCTTCAAAAATGAACGAGAAATTTCGTGCTATTGGAATGTTTCTCATGCGAAATCTTTATCGATCACGAAAGTGTTATTTTTTGTTCTACCCCCCCCCCCCCCTACTATGGGGAAGAGATGAGAGCTGAAGTTTATATTCAAACTACTTCGCCTCATGGAATTTTCTTTAGAAAACACTCTGTTGCATTGGTTGTGCTCTAAAAATACTTCGCCGCATTGCATTTTTGTTATTGAAAAGACTTCGCCGCATTAAATTTTATATAAAAAATACTGAATTTCCCGCAAAAAAAAACTTCGCCGCATTGAATTTTCTTTAGAAAACACTTTGCCGCACGAATTTTCTATAAAAATAAATTTGAAAAATACTTCGCCGCATTGAAATATTCTATAGAAAATACTTCGCCGCATGGATTTTTTATGAAAAATTCTTCGCCATATAAAATTTTCTTAAACAAAATTTCGTCTTATGGAATTTTCTATAAAAAATACTTTGCAGTATTGAATTTACTACAAAAAAACTTCGCTGCATTAAATTTTCTTTAAACATTTCTTCGACGCATTGAATTCTCTTTAGAAAACACTTTGCCGCATGAATTTTCTATAAAAATTGTTCCAACGCCTTGAATTTGCTACAAAAAATACTTCGCCGCATTGAATTTTCTATAGAAAATATATTACTGCATTGCTTATTTTATAAAAATCAATTCGCCGCATATAGAAAATACTTTGTAGTATTGAATTTAATACTGAAAAACATCGCCGCATGAATTTTCTACAGAAAATTATCCACTGCCTTGAATATACTACAAAAAAATATTTCGCCGCATTGAATTTTCTACAAGAACATTTTGCCGCATAGAATTTTCTATAGAAAATAATATAAAAACACTTCGCCGGATAGTACTTTCTATGAAAAATATTTCGCATTGTATTGAATTTTTATAAAAATTATTCGCCGCATTGAAATATTCTATAGAGAATGCTTCGCCGCACTGAATTTTCTTTTTAAAATAGATCGCATTGTATTTTTATAAAAAAATTTTATAAAAAAAAATTCCACATATTGAAGAATTCATAGAAAATAAATCGTCGCCTTGAATTTTTTATTGAAAATATTTGAAATTTCTTGCATTTTTTATACAAAATAATTCTCTGCATTGAACTTTCTATAGAAAATATCACTACAGAAAATCTTTGTGTGATTGAATTTTGTATAAAAAATACTTCGCGGCATTGGATTTGTTACATAAAACACTTCGCCGTATTTAACTTCCTAGAGAAAATCTTTCATCGCCTTCAATTTGTCATATAAAATATTTAGCAAATCTTTGTCTGCCTGTACTAAATAAAATTTAAATCAATTTCTTTAATAATCCAATGGAATTCTATAATTAATTAAAAAAAAAATTAAGCTATTGTTTATTATTTTTATATTAAAAAATGTTTTCCCAAAAAAGATTGTTCTTTGATAGACTACATGTTTTTCTTTTGCAAAATACATACATATATGTGTGTGTTTGTGTGGAAAAATTATTATTGAATGGAAATAAATTGATCGAATTATGTTTATATAAATTATTGTGTGAGATGTGTTTATTTACGTATAACTTTTTAACTAATTGCAAACAATAAATGATTAATTATTTAATTTATCGTTAAGAAAAAACCACACCCTTAATGTTTTTCTTTCTGAAAATATAAAAAACTATATTGAAAACAAAACTAGACACTGGGATGGGAGGATATGGAAGATTTAAAGGGTCTGTTTTCCAATTCTATAGACTATTGGAATTTATATTACTATAGAAAATATTTCGCCGCATAGAATTTTCTTTAGAAATTACTTCGCCTCATCGTACTTTCCATATATAAAACATTTTTCCTCATTGCATTTTCTTTTCCGCATAGAAATTTCTACTGCTCCTTGAATTTACTACGAAAAATACTTCTCCCCGTTGAATTTTTTTCAGAATTCACTTCGCCACATTAAATTATGTATATGAAACACTTTTGCCGCATTGAACTATAGAATTTATTTCATTTTGTATATAAAACCTTTGCCGCATCAAATTTTCAATAGAAAGTACTTCGCCGCATTCAATTTTCTATGAAAAATACTTCGCTGCATTGGATTTCATATAGAAAATAGTTAGCCGCATTAAATTTTCTATATAAAATACTTTACCGTATTCGATTTCATACAAAAAATATTTCGCCGCATTGAATTTGGAATAAAAAATACTTCGCCGCATTCATTTTACTACATAAAATATTTCGTTGCATTGATTTTTTTGCCGCATTGAATTTTTTTATAGAAATTACTTCGCCGCATTGATTTTTTGTTGGTTTGCCGCACTGAATTTTCCATACAGAACATTTCAACGCGTAGAAATGACATTGTTTTCTATGGAAAATAGTTCGCCGCATTGAATTTTCAATGTAAAAATATTTCGCTTCATAAATGTTCTATGAAATATACTTCGCTGTATTGAATAGAAAATACTTCGCCTCATGTATCTATTGTAAATACTACGCCGCATTAAATTTTTTATAGAAATTATTTCGTCGCATTGAATTTACTGCAAAAAGCCTTCACCGCAATGAACTTTCTATAGAAATTACTTTAACGTACTTCGCCGCATTGAATTTTTTATAGAAATTACATTGCCGCACAGAATTTTCCATACAAAACATTTCGCCGCATAGAAATTACTTTGTTTTCTATATAAAATAGTTCGCCATATTGAATGAATGATATATGAAATATACTTCGTCGCATGTAATTTTGAATAGCAAATACTTCGCCGTATGAAATTTTTTATAAAAATTACTTGCCGCACTGAATTTTCTATAGTAAATACTTCGCCGCATAGAATTTTCTATAGAAATTACTATGCCGCATAGATTTTACTTTATAAAATACTTCATTGCATTAGATTTTCTTCGCCGCATATAATTTTCTAGAGAAAGTACTTCGCCGCATTGAATTTTCACTAAAAATTTCTTCGCCGCATGAAAATTTCTATGGAAAATACTTCGCCGCATTGAACATTTTATATAATTTACTTTATAACAAGGAATTTTCTTTATAAAATACTTCGCCTTATTAAATTTCCCACAGAAAAATCATTATGAAGGGCCATAGTTAGCCCCTGCCTGCTCTATAAGTACATTTTAATTCATCGTTTTAAAAAAAACGATTTTTAAATGAAATGAAAGAAAAAGTGTTTAAGCTCCTAAACTACTTGTATAAATTATTGTTGTTGGTTTCAGTTTGTGTTAAAGGAAGATGGTAGAAAGAGAATCTTGTGTGAGTCTTTTGACCTACATTTTTTGTTCTTCATATATAATTTTGGTCTTAACTTTTAAAGGATTAGCCATCCACAATATTGCATCATAGTTAAGTTAAAAAACCAAAGAAGATATTATTTTGCCCAAAAAAAAAAAAGAAACAACAATTCATTTAGGTGAAACTTTAGAAAGCATTTTAAGTTTTAATTAACTGTTAGAAGGTAATTAAGCTTAAACAGGAGGGTAATAATTGTTATTTTAAGTTACTTTTGGACATCTTGAAACACGAGTAATTATTGTTATTTCCTTAATTTTATATACTTTTAATTATAATAGCTCGAAAGATATGTATAGCCAAATATTCACATTTCGTCATAATGTCATCAAAAAACAGAAAAAAACTGAAAAAATGATTGCTCGCCATTGTACAAACATACACACATTTATACATATGTACATAAATGTATTTAAATACTTTTTGCAAGCATTTTTCGCAGGAAATTTATGATTCACTCGGCCGCGGAATAAAACAGTGACACAAGTGTTATTGTACAATTTGTTTTTGCTTTTCATTTTTATTAAAATGTTTTTGATATTTAAAATAAATAAACAATGTAAAAATACAGAAAAGTAAAATTTCCCACCATTGTGTTGCTTTAAAATAAATAATATACAAAAATATGTATGTACAAACATATGTACATATGTATATAATATATAAAATATATTTCTACAAATATCTATCAAATACCTATAAACATACATACACCTGTACTTGAACACAAACAAATTTGAGATTTACTTAAACACTGTTAAACAAACACATATAACAACAAAGAGTATGCTTTATTATCCTTTGTTATTATAACTAAGATTTCTTTTGATTTTTTTATGAATTTTTAAAAATTTAAATTAAGCCTTAACACTTGTTTACCAAAGCCTTATTTACACTTTGTCACAATTTTGTTTATTAACCTTAACAATTAAAAGCTTCTTGCACTTTTGTTTAATTTCCTTCAATATTTTCTTTTATTTTTTTATATTTCAACAATTATTTTTTTTAACAAATTCTCTTTAATAATTAATTTATTTCTTATTTTCTTTAAAACAATTGTTTAATTATAATAAATCTAATATCGCGCGAGAGTTGATTTCGTAAAAGTGGTTCGTTTTACACTGAATTGCTAGACTGACTTCCTTCCTTTTGCCTTTATGCAGGCAAAAAAGAGCGCCAGCAAAAGACATTGAAATTCAATTGAATCTCTTTTTTTCGAGAGCTTTTCACATTATTTATTATCTGTTTGTTTTACAACAAAAAAAAAAAGCTTTTATATTTGTGGTTAGTTTGTTGTTATTGTTTTCTTTACCTATTTTTTCTGTTTATTTTGCATTTTCTCAGGTATTTCGTTAATTTATAATTTTTGTTCTTCTTCATTTGATGTTTTTGTTTTAGGTTTGATTGAGTTGGGCATTTAGTTCACCTTTCAGGTGTTTGTTTTTTTCTTTTTTCACTTTGTACTACATTTGCTGAGAGTACTTTAAAGTGGGTCGTGGCGGCGGCGTTTGTTCAAATACCCTTCTTTGGCCTAAATTAAAAATTCATTATTATAGGCTAATCAGACTTTTACACTGCATTAGAGTTGTATTTTTTTTTTTTTTTGAACAAATAGCTTTTAAATATTTTTTAAATATCATTACAATGAGAGAAATATATGTATCTAGAAAATAATTCGCTGTAAATTAACTAAATTCGCCTTATTAAATTTTCTATATTCTATTGAAATTTCTACAGAAAATATTTCACCACAATGTATTTTGTCTAGAAATACATTCTGTATAGAAAATATTTCGCCGCATACAATATTCTATAAAAACAGTTCATCTCATTGAATTCTCTATAGAAAGTACTTCGCCGCATAAGATTTTCTATTAGAAATACTTTGCAGCATATGATTTTCTATAAAAATAGTTAACCGTATTGAAAAAAAGTACTTCGCCGCATAAAGTTTGCTATTAAATTACTTTGCCGCGTACAATTTTTTATAGAAATATTTCGCCGCATTAGTTTTTTCATTACAAATACTTCGCCCCATTAAATTTTCTAAAAAATATATTCCGCCGCATAAGATTTTCTATTAAAATTACTTCGCCGCATGGAATTTTCTATAAAAATTCCTTCGCCGCATACAATTTTCGATAAAAATAGTTTACTGCATTGAATTTTCTATGGAAAGTACTTCGTCGCATTGAATTTTCTACAAAAAATACTTCGCCGCATGGAAAATTCTACAAAAAAACATCGCCTCATTAAATTTTAAGTAGAAAATACTTCGCCGCATTGAATTTTTTATAGAAAACAGTACGCCTTACAAATTTTTTTAATAAAATATACTTGAATTTTCTATGGAAATTAATTCGTCTTAAAAAAATTCTGTAAAAAATACATCGGCTGATTCAATTTTATACAGAAAATATTTCACCGCATTGATTTTTTTACAGAAAATTGTTCGCTTTACTAAATTTGTTAAAGAAATTACTTCGCCGCATTGAATTTTCATAAAAACATTCTTGGCCGTTTGCATTTTCTATGGAAATTAATTCACCTTAAAAAATTTCTGCAAAAAATACATCGGCTGATTCAATTTTATACAAAAAATATTTCGCCGCAATGATTTTTTTACAGAAAATTGTTTGCTTTACCAAATTTGTTAAAGAAATTACTTCGCCGCATTGAATTTTATATAACAGTTACTTTGCTGCTTAAAATCTTTACGGCGAATTTTGAATTTTATATAGAAATTACTTCGCCGCATAAAATTTTCTATAAAAAAACTTTGTTTTTTAATTTTCTTCAAAAAATACTTTAAAGTATTACATATTGTATAGAAAATATTTCGCCTTAAAGAAAATGTTTCGCCTAACTATGTATGACCGTTTTGGATAGGTGATAGTTAAAATCATGGACTGATATGCAGTATTTTTAATAAAATTCGTCCTTGGGCCAATAACAAACAAATTATGTTGGAATCAACCAAAGTGGGCTAGTCGACTTAAAAAAAAACTAATAAAACAAAACAAACAACTAAAACATGTGTTAAGAAATAAGTCACAGGGAAAATCAGCTTTTTAACGTAAGGCCCGCTATTCATAAACAATGATTAATAGTTTGAAAAAGGACATGAGGAAAGAAAGGAAGGAAGTAAGGAAAAGGCAAGAAAGAAAAGCAACATTAACTTTCGTTGTGGCTTATTAAATATGTCTAATTTAATTGAGTTTGAAAAACGTGTCGTCCGTTCGTATTTTATTCATTTATAACAAGGACTATTTGCCTATAATTTCTTTTAACGGGGCACTTACTCAAACATACATACTCAAACATACATACATAAAACGTAAATGTTTGTATATAGTACATAAGGTTTGTATGTATTTGTTATGTAGTATGTATTAATGCTTTCGTATATCTACAGGTAGCTACATAGATTTGTTATTTTCTTGGATTTTCTTACTGTATCTACACAATGCAATCATCGATTTTTTACCAAAAAAAATTTTACAAACACTTTTTTTGTTAAAAACACTTTAATTTAATTTCTTCTATTTAACTTTTAACTTGTTTTTGGTTTAAAAAGAAATAATTTGTTAATAGAAAGCTTAAATATTTCTTTATATAAATTAAACTTTTTGCCCGTTTAAAACAATAACAACAACACTTTTACTTTAATAGAACATTTCAATGCACCACCGCCATTCTTCATCGTCCATCATCTGTCTTCATTACACTCTACACAACAACTGAACTAAATAAATAGTATTTTTCGGACTTGATATTATTACTTTTGTTGTTGTTGTTGTTGCTGTTGTGGTTTGTGTTTGTTGCTTGTCACGAGAGTCCTTTTTGTGTGTAGAAAAATATAGGACACTATATTTTTTCTTATTCTTATGTTTTGTTATTATTATATGCAGTTGTATTGAAAAGTTTAGAAATATCTATACATAAAAGAGCTTTTCATATGGTGTTAATGAGCAAGAAAGAGAGTGTGTGTAAAAGTCCATGTGTAGGAAAGCTTTCTGTTTTTTACTTAATACTCTATTAAATGTGAATGTTAATCATTCACAATAATAAAGGAAAATACACAGAGATGTTCTCTCTTGATGTCAGTCTCCCCGTAGTTTTGTAAGGAGTACGTGTATTACTTTTAATTCGTCGCCGCATTGAATTTTCAATAGAAAAACACTTCGCTGCAATTAAATTCTTAATAGAAATTCAACGCCGTGTTGAATCTCTAATATAAAACGTTTAACCGTATTAAATTCTCTTTAGAAACTCTTTTTACAATATTAAAACACTTGGCCGCAATGAATTCTTAATAGAAAGCTTTTACAATTCACAATATAAACTTTTTTCGATAGAAAACTTCTCGCCACGATTGATTTTCAATAATAAACTCTTTACAGCATTGAATTGTCAATAAAAACTATTTTCCAAACTCGCTGTAATGAATTTTCAATTGGAAATTCTTCGCCGCATTGAATTTTTACTTTGTAGCACAGAATTTTCCATAAAAAACACTTCGCCAAAATGAATTTCTTAATAGAAAATAGAATTCTCAATAGAAAACTCTTGACAGCATTGAATTCTCAAAAGATACTCTTTTCTTTAATGTAAAACTCTTTGCTGCAATAAATTTTTGGCAAAAAACTCTTCGCTCTTCAATAGAAAACTCTTCGCTGCAATTTCTATAGATAACTAGACGGCTTTTTAAGTTTTAAAAGGAAACATTGCACATCCATTTAAAACCACTTTTGTCCCACTGTTTCCTTAAAGTTTAAAACGGAAATACAGCGACATCTATACACAAAATTACGTATACTTAAAGTCATTACACAACATTTCTACGAATAAGTTTGTTTTTTTACTGAAACTTTTAAGTAAATAACAAAAGCTTTAGTTTTAACTAAAGCTTTTTAAACATAATAGATTTTATAAACAAAACAACATCTCGTGCCATGTAAAGTTCGTATTTTATTATGTATAGATAGCAAAAGTACAACTGAAACAAAATATGGAAAAAAAATGTGAAAAATAAACACAAAAAAAGCTTTTTCTTAAAAAAAAGTGTGTTGCTTCACTGATAACAAACAAACACATTGTGCCCGTTTAACAGCAGCCCATTGTGGGTCTATTGTTGTAGTTGTTGTTGTTGGTGTAGTGAGGTGGTGGGGAGGTAAAAGTTGTGTGTTGTTTGTTTTATGCGAAAGCTGTGAGTAGCGTTGTTGTTGTTTTTATATTTAACGATAAGACTAAAAATTGTTCGCTGAAAGTTGCTCGTGTCGTTTTGTGAGTGTGATAAAAAGAAATAAGAAAAACAATATACACGACGACATACAATACATACGAACGAACAAACACACGTTATTTTTAAAGAAGAAACAGTACGAACAAAAACAAAAAGTTGAGAAGAATGAGTATTGGTGAGTGTAGTTTAGTGTAGTGTGCTCGTATGTCAGTCATTTCACATGTGTGACTGTCCGTCTGTCTGTCTGTTTGTACAATTGTATGTACTATGTCGTCTGTAAAGTTGTTTTTGAAACGAGGAGAGTGTATTATTTATTATTGTTGTTGCTGTTGCTGCTGCTGTTGTTGTTACGTACAATGAGGAGGTGCTGTGCTGTGCTGCGATGTGCTGTTTGTGTTCTGTGCTTTGTATGTTTTGTTTAGTTGCTTAGGTTGCCTGATACGGAAAACATTTGTTTTGTAGCGAGAAGTATAGTTTGTAAAACTAAACAACAATTGCTAAAGCCAACAAAAAAATATATAAAAAATTTATAATTCTACAAAATACACACACACACTTACAAACGCTTTTAACAAACAACCAACAACAACTATACATTGAAATTGTGTTAAATAAACAAAGTTTTTTTTTTTTTTTGGTGTGTTAAATAAAATACATTTTTTGAAAAATAACTAAAACTATATTAAACTAAAGTGACGAAAAAACATCGAGAAAGAAACTAAAATGACAAATTGAAAAGTTAAATATGTTATGTTACAAAAAAAATTTATAAAATTTAACTAAAAAAAGTTTTAATTCTAAACTAAATTTTAAAAATAAACTCAATATTCAAATGTAACGTAGTTAATAAAAGAAAATATCTATAAAATCCAAAGAAATAAAAAAAAAGAAAAAAATCTAACCCAAAGGTAAACACACATTTTTTATGTTATAGTTTTTCTTTAAACACATGTATTTATAAAAAAAATCAACAAATTAAAGATTCAAAAATAATTTAAAATAGTTTTTGGTTAAAGAAATGGTAAAAAAGTAACGAAATATAGAAAAATTTTCTGCTGCTGACTGCTACTGATATGTATGTTTATGTATTTACAAAAGTATAGATAACTAAAATATAAAACAAACAACAAAACCAACAGCAAACAACAACAATAGCAGCAGTAACTAAAAAAAGTATATTCAGCATAAGCTCTAAAACAACAACAACAAGTACATACATACATATAACAATAGCAACTACAACAAAACAAACAGTAATAATAACAACAACAGCAATATTGGTGACTATTCTTTAAACAACAGATACAGATATTTGTACTTTGTTATTGTTCTCGTTAATGTTGTTGTTGTTATTGTTTTGGTATCGCATTTTATTATAATTGTTGTTATTGTTTTTATATTATTATTATATGTTAATAGTTCGTATAAAAACAACAAAAACAAACAAAACTAAAAAAGTATGAGGAGCATCTGAGTACAAAACAAAACCAACAAAATGAAAAAATAAATAATAAAAATAATAAAAAACAACAACGTAGAGATAAACACAACTAAAAACAGAGAAACAATTACAAAAACAACAACAATTTACACACAAACAATATACAAATACAAAAAAAAAATAAAATTCTAAAGACTCTAACAGCCAACCAACCCGCCCGCCAACCAACCGAACAACAAAACAACCATCAAAAACAGAAACAACAGCCAGCAGCAGCAGCACATAATACCACAACATTTCCCCTCACGCCACCTCCCCCAACCAAAAAGAAAAAAAATATCCCCTATAACCCCCCACCACCTTCAACTAAACTCATTCTACTTTAACGTTCGCGCCTTTATATTTCTTTCTACTAAAAACAAATATACAAAAACAAATAATAAAAAAATACAGAAAAAAGAAAAAAAATATATAAAATAAAAACAACAATACACAATACAACATTCGAATTGTTTGTCATTTGTGAGTTGATTTGAGTTGTCTGACGAGCCAAAAACTACGACGACTAACTAACACACAGTGGTGTGTTGTTTTGAGGAAGAGCTTTTTGTCAACACGTCTTCTTCTTTTTTTTCGTTTTTGTGTAAATGAGAAAAGCTCTTTTGACACACTGTGCTGTGTACACTGTTGGTATTAGAATAGTGTGAAGAGACAATCGTCATATGGACAGACAGACAATATAGAAAGAAGGTAGAAGAAATATTGTAAATTATTTTCAAAACAACAAATACTTTGAGGAAAGGGTTGCCAAAGTATTATTCGAATACAACTTTATGTTGTTTTCAAGTTAGATACTCAATTAATACACCTAGTTGCTATTGTGCGTTTCTTGTTGTTCTCGTTGATATCAAGGCCAATATGTTGTGCAACTTTAACTGAATGAATCCACTGGTTTTCAGGTCAGTGTGGTGGAATTGGCTGTGAGATCAAAAAGGTGAAGTGTATCATGAGGACCTTCACCACAGGCAGGACATATTTTTAAGATGGTGCGGTCTATAAGAGATCAATAGACATTTAGTCAATTGCTCTATTTAGATCTCAGTTCTGCCAGAACTATTTTGTTTTACAGTATGTGGTTGGAGACCTCCAAACACGATATTGATGCGATAATCTGCAACTACTGTGTTTACCGTTTCTGTATGAATATCGTCGAGTGCTGCCGTACATGCGTCATTAAGCGCTATATATAGTCGTACATTCTCCCCTCCGGGACTCAAACTTCGTTATATTGTAGATAGGGCAATCATTTGGTATCAAACAAGTGCTTATAGTACCTTGTTCCTACATCGAAATTTCTGCTAGACTGGAATGAGCGGAGGCATTAAAGAGGCTGTCAAACGTTACAGCTACAATTACGGATGGTTTAGAGTCGAAATTCTGGCGCCATTGACTTCAACGTTTAGCTCCAGCCGTACTTCATTGGTTTCGGTGGTGAAAAGAGTTCTAGAGTATTTACCCACTGTTAACTACTATAAAGAAATGAATGACATTGAGGTAGCTATTCACTAATTTGGACAAGTCATCAATGTTGTGGCCTGGCAATAATGGTGCAGTCATGGATATATCGACATATGCAAAAAATCCGATTTCAAATTCGGTCTCTTGGTTAAAATGTGTTGGGCTGTGTAATTATGTATAAAAAAATTTAGTCGAAAAAATTACTCTCTAACCCAAATAGCACATTTTTAAAAACTATTTAGTAACCCTGTCAAAGCGTTTGAGAGGAAAGCTTAAAGCTTTCGAAAGTGCTAAACAAGTGTATCTACGTACGGATGGTTGATTGGTTTTATTTACATGCATGTATCTGACAAATACGAGTTGGTTGCTTGCGGTGTTACCGTGGATACGTTTTTTGTTTTGCTGGAAAAAATGTGACACAAGATTTTTAAAATATATAGGTATTTGAAAAACTAAAGTAGATTTTCTATTAATTTTTTATTAGATTTTTAACACAAATGAAAAAGTAAAAAAGTTTATATTTTTTTGACATTATGGTAACACTGTTTTGTATTTTACTGTAAAAAATAAAATAAATAAAGAAAACAAAAAAGGGAAAAAGTAAAAAACAAAGTGTAGGAATCACAAAAAGCGCGCCCAATTTTTATAAATTAATTTGGGGATGATTTCTTGAAGGGATGAACTCTTAACATTTATAAACGTTAAATACCTATGTATTTTGAAACGGATTTCAAATTTGTATAAATAAATACTGAAAGCAAATTGAATATTTTTGGTTTACAAATTTTTAATATATTTTTAATGTTTAACCAAATTCCTTTTACAGGTTAAATTTTCACCACCGCAGCCAAATTTGTTAAGTTTTTGAACAACAATGACAACAACAACATCGGTTCCTACAGATACCAATAGTAAACAGGATCCTAAAATAAACAATAACAATAATAGCAATACTACACCAAATAATAATACTATAACCACAAACGGGACAACAACAACAACAGGTAATACAACTAACAATATGGATCCTGCAACTTTAGCCACGAACTGTGCTGCTGCTCTTGCTGTGCCGGCTGCCAGCTCCACACCAATTACCACAACAACAGTAAGCCCTTTATCTACAACCGCAACACAACGAGCTGTAACTATAACCCCCATTTTCAACTCTCTGTCCAATCTATCCAATTCACAAAATTTTTCTCGCACTATGCAGACCGATGAAGACTTCAACATACGCTTTGTGAATCTGGTGAGAAATCACAAGTGTTTGTATGACAAAAAGGTGCCGGAATATAGGAATCGTGATAATCAGGAAAAGGCCTGGTTGCAAATATCCATAGAAACAAAAGAAAGTGGTAAGTAGAGAAAAACGTGTGGTTTATGTCATTTTACTAAGGGGATTAAAATGTATTTGATTTTTAGTCATACACTGCAAGGAACGTTGGCGCAATTTGAGGGCTTGTTTGTCACGTTACATTAAACAGCAAAGTGGCTCGGATCCTCAACACAAACCCTATTACCTTACCGAGCATATGGCTTTTCTCTTACCTTTTCTTAAATCTACCCGAAATTCGTTGGATGGCAACAACAGTTTGGCTACCTTATTTCAATATTCACAGCAACAACAACTTAACCAACAAACCCATACAAATCCAGCTTCCTTGCAAGTGTTGATACAACCCAATTTCAAGCTGTCCCAGGAACACCAGCATTTGCAGGTTAAACATTCTCTCTCGGACAATGATGATGAAGAAACCATCGATGCTTTTGATCCCGCCATAACGGCCAGTTTACATGTACAGCAACAACAACAAAACCGTTCCTCGCCCGCTCTTAGCGATACGGCCAGTGCAAATACCTTGCAAAACTTTATACCCGATGTACAACTATCCGAACTACGAACATCTGATGGTGTTCAAGATATCTCCTACCAAAACGCCAGCATGCGTCGAGATTCACACGATTTTGGTCACGAACCTAAACGCATTAAAACTGAGTGCCATGCCAGCGAAGCTACCACCACCGGACAACTGCATATGTATGCCGGCGAACAAGCCGATATGGAGTTTTTCCGCAGCATATTACCAGACATTGCGGGCCTGACGCCGCAACAGAAACGTAAACTTAAAATAGGCATTTTAGAATTAATTGATGATGTGGTCGAGCGGTTTCCACTCGAAAGAAGTACAAATGCTAACGCAACTAGTCAAAACTTAAATACACCGAAAACCCGACGAACTTCCTCTAGGGATTGGCGCAAGTAAACAGAAACTCTCGTGTTTTTATTATTGTTAGTTTTTAAAACAAATATTGGGGTAAATAGAAAAAATTTATATTAGCAGAGCTGTGTTCAAAGTTTTTTTTTTTCTCTTATTATTTTTATTTTCTTTAACTACATTATTCTGTAGATAAATGTAATTCTTTCCATTTTAAATGTTACAAATTACAAAATACAAATTGTCCTATAAAATGTAATTTATATTTTATTATATCCATATCTATATTGAATCGGCTCTGCATCATCATTATCTTAAATGTTTGCTCAAAAAATAGTGTATGTAGTAGTTGTATTCAAAAATGTTGTTTTCTTTTTTTTTCTTTATTAATATATATATTTTTTAATTATTTAGTCAAAATAATGTAAATAAAAGAAATTATGTAAAATGTTTTAAAATAATTGAAAGCGATTTTTAAAAGGATGGCCGGAGCAATTCGATTTTAGCAATTCCTTGAGTAAGATATTTGAAATCAAATGTATTTTAGTTCAACTCCGGTTCTAGTATAGTTCTACATCAGTTCTAGTTGAGTTCAATTCTATATAATTTCTAGTTCAGTTCTAGTTCAATGCTAGTTCAGTTCTAGTTAAGTTATAATTCAGTTATAGTTCATTCCTAGACTAGTTATAATCCATATCTAGTTTAGTTCTAGATCAGTTTTAGTCCGTTCTAGTTCACCTCTACTTCAGTTCTAGTTGAGTTCTAGTTAAATCCTAATACAGTTCTAGTTCAGTTTGAGTCCAGTTTTACTTTAATTCTAGTTCAGTATTAGTTCATTTCTAATTCAGTTCTACATAGTTCATTAAAGTTTTAGTTTGTTGCAGTTCCAGTTCTAATTCCTTACTCTTACGTTACAAAATTTTAGATTTATAAACTCCCAATTAGACCTTTTTCTGCTAAAAAAACCAACTTTCATTTAAAATGTTTTTAAAAATAAATTTCAGATTATATTTTCATAATATGCTTAAATAAGTCTATTTGCAATAGAGTTTTAAATGACATAAGAGGACTTTGTTTTTTTAAATGCAGTTAAACTGTCGAATTTCTTTCGTTTACAAAATATATAAAATAGAAATAAAAAAAAAAAAAAAATGAATATAAATTACTTTAAGGTTCAGTTAAGTGTTAAACACTTCGGCGACTTCTAAACTTAGTAACTAAGAGTTAACATTTTACAATTTAGAACTGGCAGAGGCACCAGTATTCTTAGGATAGAATTTCTTCGAGGTATCTTTAGCCATATCGACTAAAGTTTGGGCAGGCTTGAAGGGAGCTCCATAAAGGTCAGCATACGAGTACATTTTGTCGACCAATTTAGCAGCTGTGAAGTGATCAACCCAACGGAAGGGACCACCGGAGAATGGTGGGAAACCAAGACCGAATACGGCACCAACATCACCTTCCAAGGGATTGTGTAAAATCTTCTCTTCCAAACACAAAACAGCTTCGTTGACGAAACGTGATACCATACGTAAGGTCATGTCTTCGGGTGTATTGGCACCCTTGGATACTAAGGCATACTTTTGTTTAAGAATTTCTTGTGCTTCCATATTGACAGGACGGCTGCCCTTGGTTTGGCTGTCGTACATAAAGATACCTTTGCCGGATTTGCGACCCAAGAAACCAGCCATAACCATGTCTTGCATAACGGCCAAATTGCCGCCACTGAAACGTTCACCAAAGGATTTGGACAAATCGACAGCAATGTGAGAACCTACATCAATGCCTACCTCATCGGCCAAGGTGGCGGCGCCTACTGGGAAACCGAATTTCTTGGAGAGAGCATCAAGTTCTTTGGGGTCAACTCCTTCTTGTAGTAAACTGGAAGAAAGAGTTTAATAAAATTTAAAACTTTTTATTTAAAAAAATTTAATTTTTACTAAAAATTCCACATTTTTTTGAAAAATTCGAAATTTTAAAATAAATTTGAATTTTCTTTAAAAATCGACAATTTTCCCCAAAAATTATATATTTGAAAAATTTTCGAGATTTTAACTAAAATTTCTAAATTTCATTAAAATTTTAAATTTTTCTAAAAAATTTAATTTTTCAAAAAAAAAAATCCGAAATTTTAGTAAAAATTCAAAAATTACAAAAAAATTAAAAATTTGATTTTTTCATTAAAAAAGTAATTTTTACAAAATTTGACAAAAAATTTTAAATTTTGCAATTATTCGATCTTAAATGTTCCAATTTTTTCACAAAAATCGAATTTCCAAAGAAAATTTCACTCAAAATTTGAACCAAAAATTCTTATAATTACTCACCGTATAGCTTCCGACAACATAGTGGCCAAAATACGAGTGGTATAGAAACCAGGACCATCTCCTACAGTAATAACAACCTTGCCCTGTTTCAAGCCCATGGCTACGGCAGAGGCAATGGTATCCTTAGAAGTGCCAGGATGAGTAATGATTTCTAACAATTGCATTTTATCTACAGGCGAGAAGTAGTGCATGCCAACAACATTCTCAGGACGAGAGCTACCGGCAGCAATTTTGGTAATGGGGATAGCGCTAGTATTGGTGGCAATAATACAGTGAGGAGGTACAACAGCTTCGAGTTCTTGGATGACACGGTGCTTAATCTTAATGTCTTCGAATACAGCCTCTATGACCATATCGGCAGTTTTGAATTCATTGTAATCCAAAGTGGAAACCAAATTCGAAAGGACTTGATCACGTTCCAAGCCAGAAATACGTTTACGTTTGACAGCAGTTTCAAGACCCTTTTGTACTTGTCCGATACCGCGTGCTAGACCAGCATCGGTGGCATCTTTCATGACAGTCTTGATGCCCTTATCGACAGTGACTTGAACAATACCGGCACCCATAAGACCAGCACCCAAGACACCCAAAGTTTTCACTTCACGTTGAGGTTTGCCAAAACGATTTTTCTTGCATTCAGTTTGACCACGGAACAAAGCAATCAAACCCTTGGATTCGGGAGTGGCAGACAAATAACCAAAACCTTCACTTTCGGCAGCATAACCAGCTACGGGTCCCTTATCTACACCAGTGCGTATGACATCGAGAATTTTCAAGGGGGCAGGATACAAACCATTGGTCATTTTCATTACTTGCTTGCGGGCAGTGTCGAAAATTTTGTTCTTAACAAAATCAGTGTCCATGGCCAAGGCGGTAAGTTTGTTGACTAAGCCAGATTTTTCGCGGTTGACCTAGTTTAATTTAAAAGTTTTAAAATAAGGTTTCAGGAAGACTTAAGAGTTAACAACTCACCTTTATCTTACCGCTAACAATATCGTTGGCTACTTGCACGGCCACCTTCTCCAAATACTCAATGGTCATTTGGTCGGCAGGAGCAAGACCGGGGCCCAAAGGACTTACTACTAAATCAACAATACCAGCGCGTTTAGCACGATCGGCAGGCAATTGCTTACCAGTCAATTCCATGTCGAGTGCAGTGGGTAGGCCGGTCAATTTGGGTAGACGCACGGTGCCACCACCGCCGGGCAAAAGACCCAACATTACTTCGGGTAAACCCAATTTAGTCTTTTTGTCCTTGGTGGCAACACGATAGTGGCAAGCCAAAGCCAACTCCAAACCACCACCCAAACAGACACCATTAATGGCGGCCACAATGGGTTTGCGGCTACGCTCTATGCGTTCAAACATGTATTGAGCATCTTTGGACACGCGGGTGGCATCAGCGGCTGTTTCACACTTCTCCAACATGCCAATATCAGCACCGGCTATAAAACAGCCAGGTTTGGCAGAAATCAAAACAGCGGAATTGACTTGAGCATTGGTTTCCAATTCCTTAAGGACTTGTTCGAATTCCTGGCTAACAGCCTCACCCAAAGAATTAACCTTGACACCGGGACAATCCAAAGTCACTACCAAAACACCATCTACTACTTTGGTCCGTAAATTTTTCTGGCCCGCAGTAGCGGCCGACATCAGTCTTACATTTTGGGCAATAACTAAAAAGAAAAACAATACAAATCTAATAAAAAATCTACAATTTAATAAAATGTCTAAGAGATAACTAAAAAAAATAACAACAATTATTAGAAAATAGTTATTATTATCGTCATAACAAAAATAAAAACCAACAACTTAGACACTGACAAACACTTCGTCGTATACAGTACAAAGTTCAAAGTCCGGTCCGGTCTGGTTGGTTGGGTTGTTGTATACACTAATCAAAAAACAAACAAACAACAACAAAACAGATTGCAAATCTTGAAAATTGGGACACAAATTTAACTAAATTTAATTTTAAAAGTATAAAAATATTTATATGGTCCACTTACCACGATTGCACTTATTTTGCATTAATTGTCTTCTCGACAATTGGCCCACAACACTGAAAATACGTGAAGCCGACATTGCTCACTGCTAAATTGTTTTTTTCACCTCCAAGAAAAAAAAAATTGGGAAAATTTGCAAACAGTTTATTTAATTGTAAATTTATAGAAAGTTTTAAGGTTATTAAATGCTTACTAATAAAAAATATAAAAAAGAAAACTTTTTAAACTAAAATAAAAACTTTACTGCTTTAGAAAAAATTAAATTTTAGTGGAAAATAATTTAAACTTGTTGCCTGCAACACTTTCTTCTGTTAAATAATTGCAGAGGACAGTCAATCAGAGCCCTGCGCCCTGCGCCAAATATTAACGGCGGCGGCGACTGAAACCAAATATGTCGGCGGCGGCTTAAAATCGACTGTAAGCCGGCTAAGTTTTCAACTACGTTTAGTTTTTAAATTTTCAACGATTTTAAATAAAAACGGAATCCGAGAGATCAGAAAGTGGGATTTTGGAAGCAAATATATTGTTTATAACAACAAAACAGAGCAAGCTCAAAAGTTGTGTGAGAAATTATGCAGGGATGAATAAAAAATTCTTAAAAATTAAAAACAAATCCTTTCTCCAAGTTTTACGAGGATCTGCCGATATTTAACCCTATCCTCCATATAAAACATCTTGCAGAAAATATGTTTCTAAAAAATTTTGCATTAAGAAAATTATCAATAACGTAAAAACAAAGATATTTTATTTGTTTATTTACTAGCTATACCCAGTGTGCTGTGCTACCCTTAACGATTTTGATGATTCTAACTACAATGGTTTTCCAGATATACAATTTGTTACATATGGGAGATTCCACGTAAATTATTGCAATTTCTCTAAATGTTCTTCAGTAAAATATGAATTTTTCTATTTAATTCATATGGGAGCTTAAGGGTCACAGAGATTGAAAAATATTCCAAAAGTTTCACTTTGAAAACATTATTAGAGTGTATGAAAACTCGCAACTCTAAAGGCAGACTATTCCTATTTAAGGAATCATTTCTTTATGATTAAAATAAGTAAGGAGTAAGAGTTATATTCGGCAAATCATTTGTCGTAAAAAAGCAAATTTCGGAAATGGTCATATACATATATATATATGTATGGACTTTGATCATTAGATTAATAAGAACGTCACCGTGATTTTCGGATTAGAGACTTAAATGTGAAATTGGGTCAATTATGGACAAAGTTCTCTATAATTTGAAGTATTTTTTTTTAATTCTACCATAAATCTATCATAATGATAACTTTTGGAATGATGTATTAGCTATAAACTGATTTTCTGTAAGAGAGTTATATTGGCGGACCGATCCTCAAAATTTTCGTTCCAACAAAAATTGTTTTATTATGGTATTATTAAGTACGTAGAAAACGTTAAAATCAATTATTGAAGGGGGCAGGGTCAATTATGGCCTATAGAGATTTCGATTGATATCGAGAACTTTTTGCAAAATGGACGTAAGCGAGATAAATTTTTGTTCAATTAGGATACTGCGTGTTTAATTTTATGTTTATATATTCAATATTTTAGAAAATTCAAAAAGCACCAGTTAAAGAACGAAAAATTACCAGAAATACTCCAGTTTAAATTTTCATTCACTCAAGTCCCTGATTGCTTAGTTTTATGTTTTTTGGCTCATTATAATAGCAAATTCAAATGGTACCAGTTGAAGAACGATAAAGCACCAAAAAGTCCCGTTTTATATGTTCTAACTTACTCCATGCCCTTCAGGTTTAATTTCATGTCTATAGGTTCGATATTATAGAAAATTCAAAAAATACCTTTTGAAGAACGAAAAAGTACCAAAAAATCCCCTTTCATATGTTAACACTTAATCCGGGCTGTACATTCCTAATTTCATGTTTCTAGGTTCAATATTATAAAAAATTCAAAAAGTACCAGTCGCAGAACGAAAAAGTACTAAAAAGTCCCTTTTTATAGATTATAGTTTACTCCGGGCTCTACATATTTATTTTTATGTTTCTAGGTTTATTTTATGGAAAACTCAAAAAGTACCAGTAGAAGTACGATAAAGTTCCCCTTTTATAGATTCTCATTTACTCCAGGCTCTAAGTGCTTAATTTCATGTTTCGAGGTTCAAATTTTGTAGTAAGCTCAAAACGTACCAGTCAAAGAACGAAAAAGTACCAAAAAGTGCCATTTTATAAATTCTCATTTACTCCGGGCTCTACGTGCATAATTTCATGTTTCTATGTTCAATTTAAAAGAAAACTCAAAAAGTACCTTTTGAAGAACGAAAAAGTACCAAAAAGTCCCCTTTTATAGGACCTTAATTTCACGTTTCTAGGTTCATTATTATACAAAAACTTAAAATGTACCTTTTAAAGAACCAAAAAGTCCCCTTTTACAGGTTCCCACTTAATCGGGGCTCTACATGCTTTCATGTTTCTAGGTTTAATATTATAGAAAATTCAAAAAGTTCCTTTTGAAGAACGAAAAAATACCAAAAAGTCCACTTTTATAGATTCTCAAGTGCTTAATTACATGTTTCTAAGTTCTAAGTCCAAAAAGTACCAGTAGAAGTACGATAAAGTACCAATAAGTCCCATTTTATAGCTTCTCATTTTCTCCGGACTCTACTTGCTTAATTTCATGTTTCTAGGTTAAATTTTATAGAAAACTCAAAAAGTACCTTTGTAGAACCAAAAAGTTCAGAAAAGTCCCTTAATTATAAATTTCATGTTTCGATTTCAATATCATAGAAAACTCAAAAAGTACCAGTTGGAGAATGAAAAAGTACCAAAAAATATCACTTGGTACCGGTGTTCCAAATAACACCAAATTAGCATATTTAGTGTTTCTTGAATAAAATCAAATTTCCCGTTTTTACTCCTTTTGGTACTTTTTTCCTCCCCATTAACGAAATAAAAATTCTTTTCCAAAAAGTTGCAACATCGTATTGGGAGCCCGTTATTATGTATTCATATGTATAGGTTAATAAACCAAAAACAATGTTTTATAAAAAAGTACCAAAAATAGGTACAATTTTCACCCCTTAAACGTCCGAATATCCAAAAAGTACTAAATTCATATTTTTATTTGTTCGTCAAGTTATAAAGGATTCAAAAATATTTTTTTAATGTTCTCTGGTTTAAAAGAAACATGGGGTGCAAAAGAAGTACCATATTACAGTTTTTAATCGTTTAGTAACAATATTTTGCCCAAACAACATCTACATACCTAGCCAGGTTATATCCTCTAGGTCCGTGAAGACATTCTCTACAAAGCTATAAATTTGTATAAAAGGCGGCTTAACAATTGTTTCTTGTAAATATTCGGCCACCATAGTGTTTGGAGACAACAAGAGCTTCACTGAAAGACACACCTGACAGACATCGCGCTCTATTATGGGTATGTATCCCAAGTATGTATCCCAAGGATACCCCCTGAATACGGCAATCAGCTTCCGTCCATTGCCTCTAGGTGATAATATATCATGTCACCACTAGCCGACCGACCACCACCCGCCTAGGTAACTAGGAAGGTATATAATTGCCACTCTCTTGTGGGCATTCTACCAGGAGACTTTCTTGAAAATAAAGACGTTCTTTATAGACCAATAAATAATTAATTAACACCATTACTTCCAAATACGCCAAATCTTCTAGATTTCAATAAACACTTTTGGGTATTAAACGAAAACAAACCCCGCCTGGAAAAACATTTTAATCATAGTTATTAACAATTTATCTAAATTAAACCAAACACTTGCCGTTTCTTTACACAATGACCCTCGGTATAGTAGTGTAGCAATCTTATTAATTTCAATTGTTAGTAAAAAACTATTTTTTTATTTAAAGAATATCATTTCTGTCATTTTAGATTTTTGCACACACACAACAGCAGATTTTTTTTCAAATAAAAAATGCAGAAACCAGTTTGGCGCGAAAAATTCTAGCAGAATTTCTTTTCGCAGTCGGCAGAATTGCCATCAACTGCACTTTCCTTTTAAAATACACATGTTTGATACCCTAGCCCTTAACGGTATGCCATACCAGCAATGTAAAAAGGTGTAGCTCCGTTGACGTCAACGAAGCTGGTTTGAAGTCAAAGCAGCGACTCGAATTAGGCGCGAAAACACGAAAATATCTGAGGCGAAGCATATACATCGAACGTTGAGCAAAGTTCTACACCGGCCAAATTTCAATGAGCGGCTTATTATTAGATAAAAGAAAACTTGCTTAGATGAAAACAAATTAATTTTATATTGTAAAATTCCACAAATTTAGCGAAAGTATTCTGTAAATTGTACAAAATATGGCGAAATTTTCAAGCCGTATTAAGCGGAAAAATTTTCGGCGGCGCGGCTTTGACATTTTTTTCGGCGGCTAGGCTTAGTCGGCTTAAGCCAAATCGGCGCAAGTCTCTGCAGTCAATGCTGTTAATTTAGCGTTAGTTAAGAAAAGTATAGCGTTTTTATAAACACAAAGCGGGAAAACGCTAGAAAGTACTTTAACGTTTAATAAAAGACAGTACAAAAATTAACTGAAGTAGTTTTTTAAGTTGTTTTAAAGGTTATGTTTTCCTTAGTTAAAATAATAAATTTGTTTGCTTATTGTTTTATTTATTATATTAATAACAACATTTATGTGTTTTTAAGACTTTGTTGGCAAATATTGTTTGTTTGTCATTGAACAAGAAAAATTAACATCACTGATTATTGCAATTAAATAACAGAGTACAAGGTCACACAATTGTGTTACTTTAACGGCGTTGAACTTATAAAAGCCGGTATTTTTTACAACAGAGGTCGCTAATAGTGAGAAAACAGAATTTTATTAATTAGTGATGATAAAACAGTTAGTTTTTGATATTATTCGAGTTTTTAGTGGACAATTAGTTAAAAAAACTGTTATAAATACAATAACTTTTTATAAAAAACAGTATAATCGATTTTCTTCTACACAATTTTTCTACATAAAATATTGATATGAAAATTTGTTGATAAAACAGTTTTTGAGGTTATTCGAATTTTTAGTAGACAATTAGTTTAAACAAACTGTTATAAATATAATAACTTTTCATAAAAAACAGTTAATTAATCGATTAATCGATTCTACAGAAAATATTGATATGAGAATGTGTTATAAACATATTTTTCTTTAGAGAAAACTGTTATACACATGCTGTTTATAGCAAAAGCCTTTATTTAGATTTTTTTCTATAGAGAAATAGCTATACAAAATTATTTCCATAAAAAAAGTTAAACAAACTTTTTCTGTAAAAATATGTACATACAAATTTTTATAAAAACTATTATACACT